GTGTACCAGTGTTGTGTCAACTTATCAAAAATATAACTTTTAGACACTTTGTAACTAGCAGCCTGTTAAAAATAATTTGTTCCCATTTCTTTAGTTGAATTTATGAAAAGTGCTAAAGATAATAGAAATTGAAATATTTCAATTCTCGTCAAAAATGACGGACACAGAAAAGTACCGTCAGACTTTGATCCACTATGCAATACAATTTAGAACGTGTCTCATTCATTTGTCAGCACGACAGTGATACCAAACACACTGCCAGGGCAGTAAAAGCATACCGGGATAGAAAAACACACAATAAACACTGACATCAGTCATGGATCGGCCTCCCCAGAGGTCGGACCTCAACATTATTAAAGCAACAAAACAAACGGCAGCCAGCATCTAAAGAAGAGCTTTGGATGTCCTTCAAGAAAGCTGGAGAACTATTCCTGAACACTACTTAAAGAATAGAGGTGCCAAATATATCAAACATTCACTTTCAAGCTCGTTAGAATTGTACAAACTCTATGTTTGCATATGTATTTCCATATATTTTTCCTGGCAAAATATAAATGACGGTTGGCTCTTTTGCCAGTATTGTAGTCACAACACAGTGCATAATCAATTTGGTGTCTCCTTCTTTATACAAATCATGCATTATTGGTCTTGGTCAGGCTGTTTTGCAGCTGCTGGAATGAAAGAAGAGGAAAATGTCTTTGGTTTGTAGTTGGGATTATACAACACAAACGGACGCACACATCTAGAGCTGTGTGAAAGGCATATATAAACTCTTAATGTACACTCTAGTAGTAAAAAAAGGTAGTTTAGTCCAAAAGTAACATCAACCACTAAATGAAACCTTTCCCCCCACACTAAAACACGGCATCAATCATCCTTAATTGACCCATTATGCTCCTTAGAGTCTGTTTTCACATTTATATAAACCAACACAGACAAATATTCGCACACGCACACACAAACATCTTTGTGGTGCCAGTGAAAACTGGCGCCCCGGCCTGCTCCTCTTCCTGTCACTCTCCTTCCAGAGCAGTGAGGTTTGAGTAGAATTACAGGGTGTAACATGGCTGTCTAAATCTGAGCTTCACCACACATTTGAAATGCAGACACAGACAACTTTACAAACCGCTGCACATCAATTTTCAGATACGCAGTGTTAAAAAGGCATCTTTTGCTATAACCGCATGCTAAAAGTTGCCTTAGACAGAATCAGGGTTATATAGTAATAAAATCATCACAATACACATTATATATATTTTTCTGGTCTTTTTGGATTCCGCTCGTTTTTCTGAGTATTTAAGCTCACATGTCAACATGCCCGGTGTTATTTTCTGTGGCAGATCCTGCTTCTGTGCTTTATATAAAGTCGAAGAGGACAAAAGCAGAGATAGCATCTGGGTGTCATTGTTTGTTCAAAGGTTTGACAGATGCCACACCTGCTGCTGGGTCACATACCACTGGCTTTTTCATGTTAACTGGCATCAATGAAACTCACCAACAGGACAATCAACCCTCTTGGAAATGAAAGAAGTGAGCTGGACAGAGTATTAGTTGGGTTAAGTTATTCAGTAAGAATTCAAGAAGCCATCTAGTTGTTGCTCATAATCTTTTGACAAAATCACATTTCTGCTTTGTTTTCATGTCCAGCTCAGCATCTGGGTGTACGCTCTGAGCAGGAGCAACTATTTCTGTGAGAACAGTGGCTGGTTTCTCACCAGTGCTCCTAGGCACCGTCATCTGTCTCCACAGGCAGACATAAAGGGACAAGAGATTAACTCTTGCTGAGTCTTTGTATCTCTAATGATTCCTCCTGGCTTTTAAAAAGGTCATGCAATATCCCTGCACAAAACTGTGCCCTCACTTACTTATGCTGTTTTCTGTCACTGCAGAAGGTGAGAATAAATGACCTGGAGTGTGGCTTCCTACAGAGCAAAGTAAAGCTTCATACATGCATGCACACCTTTTAGAAAATTGACAGACATGCAGCACACACATGCAAATTGAATTTTTGGACACTACGTGATGCAATGCATTGAAATGTCTTAAGAGATCTCAGTATTCCAGAGTCTTGTTTTTCTAAAGCAGACTGCAGAAACGCAACAATAATTGTGTGATACCCCACTCATATAAAACCTCACCACATTTTAAATCACCATTGTTATTAGGCATATTTTCAGTCTGATCTAAATTTATTTATTTCCTTTAAGACATAAATTAAGGTTCGAAAAGAGCTCAGCCGGGATAATTTGTTGACTTCTTTGTTTTTAACTGGTAAAAACTGGTTGAGGAAAAATGTTTCCTCAGGAACTGGTGAAAAAGCTGCTTTCTTTCCTTCTTTGTGGTTCTTCTTTTTTTAAAGTGTTTGTTTGTAAAACTTAACCACAAAACTATGAATTGCACAACCCCATGGCTTTTGCTGAAGAACTAAAGAGCAACGTCCCTGAACGTGGGAGGGGTAGATGTGTGGGTCAAATACTGGAATTTTGCCCGGGACACTGGGGTTCAACTTTAGCTCAAGCCAAATGTCAAGACTTACCAATTACTCCTCATTAGTCTCATATTTTTTTCTTTAGCTTTTAGCAACTCTAAAAAGAACCTGCAAAAGATCTGCATCATCATAAAAACACATCTGACTTGCCTCTCTGGGCTTCTCTTGGGGATTAAGTGGATCAACAGCTAAGAGGTAGATTACTTTGCAGGAAGAGTTTAACAAAATTCTGATGCAAAAATGCTGATGTGATGCAAAAGGTGAGAAACGTTTGGTTGCAAAGTTTCCAGGGAATGAGTCTCAGTATAATTATAGAATAGAATAAACAGATAATCTGCGTCAGACGTTATTGTCTTAAAAAACACCGCTCTCCTAAATTTAAACCCCGGTATCTAAAAACAAAGTGTTTCAGCATGCGTCTTTGTGTTCATGCCTGTTGTTTTATTGCAGCCTAGAAAGCACTGAGGATTTACTTTACAATACTCTATTGTCTCCGGGCCAACACTCAGCTTCCTGGCAGGCCTGAATCCATCCAAAACAGGAGCGTAGATCCAGCAAAGACACAGAGATCAGCTTCTTTTTTTGTCCCTTTTAAACCTTCCATATATCACCTTCAGAGTCTTCTACAAACGCACATCTGGGTTTGTGGAGATCGGGAGTCTACCCTGGATCTGGTCTCTAAATCAGGAGCCAAGTGCAAAGTGAAATCACCCTTATATTTAATCATACCTAATTTGTTTAAATGTGTTTTTACTGGATGAGCTCATTACACTGACAGGCCGATGGCGATAGTGAGCCGTTAACTGCTAAATGAATTTCAGCATCTGAAAGGAGTTTTAGCTTCTTGGCGTCCTCTCTGATTTGCGAGAAAGCCATTTCCTGTGCAGAAAGCCTTCATCTGTCTGAGACTTCTCATCCTGTTTGACTAGCATTCCTTCCTCTTCACCCCCTTCTCTTTCCTCCTCTTTTTCCCACAAGCTTTGTGTGTGTTTTTTGGTCAGTTTGTCCTCTTTAATCCACGCTTGAGCCCATTCCTGCCATAACTTGCTTGTGCAACAAGAATTCAAAATGTGATCTCAAACACTTCTGAGCAGAGACAATATTTTCAGCACAATAGTTTATGGTGTCTGACTTCCTGTTATTGCTCACTCCCTCTGTCTTCTGTTTCTTTTTTTTTTCCGCTGCTCATCAGAGAGCCTGTGATACTTGTCAGTGGGAGCTGCTCAACCACTCAGATTAACACAGCAGTGATGAAACCTCCTTGTCTCGTATCCGTCCACAGTACCGTCTCCCTTCATCGCATCTGCTTCTCTTCAAGCGCCTCCACTTTACCAACTTCATCTGAGCTATCAGCTTCTCTCCCACAGTTCTCCCCCTTTTTTTTTATCTTGCTCTTTAACATTTGCAATGAGATCATATTTTGCAGGTTTCAAAATTATCTTTCATTGTCATATATACATCATAAGGTAATCAAATCAGACATCTGGGCTTCTGTTCATCCAGTCAAATCTCTAGACTTTTCTTTTTTTTCATTTCTGGGACTACAACAGCTGGTGTGAGTGATAAGTAGACATTAGTGGACCTACGGGGATAATTTAATCTCTGAATCTCGGTTTAAAAGAGCAAAACTAGTGAGAATAAGAAGCACCAAAACTCTTCTAAAAAGTCATATTAAAGAGTTTTGATGGATGTCAACTGAAGCAAAGGTTGAACAGATTTAAAGTAAAGAATTATTTTGTGTCTGCTGTGGATATATGTGTGAGATATGTGCTTTGTTAAAGAGCTGTTCACACAGATATCCCACACAATCACACACCTACCTGCAAACAGATAGTTGCATGGCCACATAAGCTTGGCCACGAGTGTATTTTTTCTCCTCAAAAAGCCACAAACCCACAGATGACATCTATGCATATATGAGGAAATCTGAATAAAGGTCAGGGCGTGTGCATGTGTGTGTGTATTTGCTGCACATATCAGGTTTTTGATAAAGAGTTACTGCTTCCTGCCCAAAGGCAGGGCCAAAGATGCAGATGAGTTCAGACAGGAAGTAAATGCACATTAAAAAAAATAAAATAAACAAGAGCAAAACTTCTAGACTTGTGCTCATATTTATAAGTATAACCTCACAGTGGCTGGACAGTGTGGGAACGGCCACTATAGTTTCTTATTAAAGCCTCCAGCCCTCCATGAGGCTCACATCTGCCTCCTTTGATGACCTCAGATCACTGTGTCAGCTATTTCTGCTGTTTGAGTCGTTCTGCTTTATCACAAGCCTGATGAACAGATCTGCACGTTGTTCACACTCTTTCTTCTTTTCATTCCTCTTATGTTGAGTTAATGTTGATCCTTCTCGGTCAGGTTTTAGCTTTGCATTGCTTTACCTATAACATGCATGCATAAGGCAGGGTTTCACACTTCCGAGGTCCTCCTACCACCTCCACCCACACCCTTCTTTCTCTCTCTCCTCTTCCTCCCCATCCCCTTCCAGTTCACTTGTCAGCAGCAGCAGCAGCAGCAGCACGGATCCGCTACGCTGCTGCGGTGCACTGATGTCCCAGCAGAAACTTACGGTGCACACCGCAAACCGAGCAGGATGAAAACGAAAATAGATGGTAACCTCGAATTTTTTAAGAAACCGCCCTCTGCGTTTTTTTCTCCTTCTTTTCTCTAAGGTAAGATTAATCGAGGGAGTTTGTTAATGGCTTTGTGCATGTAGCTTGAAATTGACCGAGAACTGCTAATGAGCCTGCGATAAGAACAGCAAAAGTTATAGCCGAGGTGCAGTTACGCGGTCTGAATAAAGCGTTCCTATGAATTTACGCTCCAGTGTGTGCGTTTTTAGGCATGCATTCAGTATATGAGAAGAACAGCATGGAGCTGTTTCACTTTTGCGTCTTATTCAGTTGTAATAACCTGTTGCACGCCTTTGTTCCAATGACAGAGTCTGTTTGTCTCTGCAAAGTAACAAACAAACAAACAAACAAACAAAAAGCGCTATCCAAGCTTCACACGGTTCATTTTTTGCAGGTGTATCAATCCAAATGCAGCATTATTGTTCAGTAAACGTCCCTCTGTATCCCCGAGCTTGTCAGTCACTTAATTTGAAGTGACTTTTTGCGTAACTTTTTCTGTACATCCTCTTTAACAGCGTCACTTCCCACAAACTCAGAGGTGGTTTGTGTTTTTAATCAAATTAAAACAGAAGTGACTGTAAAGCCCTGCCCGGCACTGCAGCTCCGCTCGTTTAGAAGTGAGGTGGTGAGATTTTGTTTGGTTTAAGCGTTTTAAATAAATTGGTTGGTGTTCTCCTCCGACCGAGCCACAGAACAACTGTCCCAGATTTGTGCCAGGTCTCAGATCACTGGGCTGGCAGCCTGTCAGGGAGCTGGCGTCACTGTTAGAGAGGCTGCCCTTCAACCATCTAAACAACTGGAGTCCTTTCAGAGGCTTGGGCCTGTGTTAATCGCTGACCTCTCTTGAGGATGGTGAGTGAACGAGGACAATGAACTAAACGTGCTTTATGTGCTTAATAATTACTCCTTTAAACTGCCAGTTTAATATTTCATCAACTGCACCTTCTCATTGTGTTTGCTTGGTGGAAGTTTGGCAGATTTCATTATAGCCTTTGTCAGGCGATGCTCTCAAATAGAATCAGACGTGTTTGCACGTAACTGTTGCCGGGCCTCGTTTCCCCAGAGTTTTGTTGACCCAAGTCCCAAACATAAAAAAAGGAATTCACGAAACTAGTGACAGATGGCGAGTGTTAAACATGGCCACAGTGACTGATGTGTTTGCTTACCCTGCAGTTGTTTTGCAGTGCTTTCCTCACAGTATTTGTGCACTAAAAAATAAGTTAGTGAACCCGTCGGGGAGCTCTTAAGTGTTGTTATCTTCAGTGTTTCTGCACAAGTTTTGTTGACTCAAGAGAACATCAAGGTACGCGACAGAGGAAGGAAAAGAAAGGTCATATACAAGTAAGTGCTTCCATGTACGCACTGTGATATCAGTTGAATCAGCGTAAACCCAGATGTCACACCCCTCAGTCATCACTGACAGAGTCAAATCATGTATAGTGCTCTTGAATGTGTGCAGCACAGACACCCTCATGGCAGGCCGTGAAGTGCATTGCCACGTTGCAGCAGTCGATCCTTGTAAAGTGAGCGCATGCTGTATTTTTGAGCTGTGTGTAATGGTCAGGGTGCTCTGACCTCAACCACAGTTTGCTGGTGCAGTGCTCTAAGAGGACGACGGCCCTCCGGTCCAGGGGAGGAAGCAACTTCAGATCTGATCCACTCTGACTCAGCCCTGCATCTCCATATAAGTCTACATGCGACCATGTTTCACTGCCAGCCTCTCAGATGTCTCCAGAGCCCATTTTTGCAGTTTGTGGGTCTGTGGTACCAGATGTTTAACTAACACGGTAATTCCACTTGAAGCTGGGTGACTGACAGAGACAGGAAGCATGTTTGACAGTGTGTGTTTTTTGTGACATAGGGAAAGACAGAGACAAAGGACAGTGAGATTAATTAAAGTGAAAGCCTAAAATAGAAGCCGATGGGGACACACACTTAAAGATGGAGGTATAAATGTGCTTCTCATCAGCGTCCCCAGATCCTTTATTTGATGCCCATAATTGATGCCATCCGGTCTGCTCTCCCAGCTGCACGCTGTTCCCATTACACTTTTCAGACCTGCATGTTTGCCACTGTGTCTGCAATCAGCCTGGCCGCTCATGTGAAACAGGTTTGTTTACAGATGCCCGCTGGTTCAATTTAGGGATAATTAGCATGTTTAGCACATCTAAACGTCTTTCTGTGTGTTCCTAACAAGGCCAATTGTAGGATTGAAGTTTCCAAACTGAGTTTATGTGCCGGAATTACACTTCATTTTACATGGAGAGCTGAGCTGAATTACTGCTCACAAAGTCACAAGAGGGGAGAGGGAAGAATATTATATAAAAGTCCGTTATGTACCTAGAAGAATTTGGCAGCTAGAAGAGCTGGAGAAACATAATAGCTGCACCATGAGAAGCTGTGACTGATTAACACACTTAGTAGTAATAATTCAAGGAGACTTTGTCCCTGTGTTTGCTTTTCATTTGCGTCGATAGCCATTCATATGGTCCTTGTCAAACATCGCTAGGAACCTGAGTGAGTGCAGCACCGAGTTTGAGACCAGTTCTACCAGTGCTTCTTATATGTACGCAAAAAGTTGTTCCATGATGCCAGTGTTTATGCAGCGTTTACTCTAGAGCAGGGGTGTGCAATTAATTTTGCTAAACGGGCCTCATGTGGAACTGGGACTGTTGTGGATGGCTGCACCAAAAATGCTTACATAGAGATAAAATTAATAATAAGCAGAATATTGAGGCAGCTATGACTGTGAATTGGGGCTATGTAAATAAAATTGAATTGAATTGAGTTCATTGATGCAGCCCTCCACAACAGTCCCAGTTTCTAATGTGGTTAACTTGGAAAAGTTAACACTCCAACCCCGCCCTAGAGTGACTGCTAGCTGCTCCACTCTGTATGTAGTGGGAGGGGCACATAGTAACACAGGTGCACATTTGTTTAGTTATCTTTGCAGGGCATTCATTGACATTAAATAACTGCCAAGCTTCTCACTTCTAAATTTAACCATCAGAACAAATTGACAAAATTGTTAACTTAACCCCGACCTTGTTCTAAACCCAAACCCAAAACTTAGTCCGAATTCTCAAAAAGTCCTTTTCAATGGGTGTAAAAAGTGAGGACAGGCCATAAAGTTGTGTCTTTTGTTAAATGTCATTACTCTGCTCCCCACAAAGAAAGCTGGACATGTTTGGATCAGCAGTTTTTTTTTAGAAAGCTGCAAACCATTCTGCCTGTTCTACACAACAACATGTTGAAGCCACAATCACACAGACACAAGCATTTACTGCAGCCAGTGAATCTTCCTAACTTTCCTGTTTTCAGAACTGAGGTCATGATTGCCTGCACGCGATGTGTTTATGGGACATCTGTAAATTTTAGCTCCAAAAACACAAGTTGCACTCTGCCTGAAAGGGTGCTCCACTCGTGCATAAAATAACAAAATGTAATACTAATATCTAGGAAATGGGAAATAGGGATAAAAATAAAAAGCTAGTCATATTTTTTATTTTAATTGAAGGAATTCAAAAGTTGGGGATTTAATCTAAAACTCCCAACAGCACAAAGCAGTTTCCAATCCAACTCTTTCCAAGGCTGGTGTTGTCATCTACACTGCATGTTTGCCTCTGAGGTTAATGGTTATCTGTCACTCACCTTCTTGTGCTGCACAGGCCCAAATCACTAAAGCTAAGTATTATTAAGCTGAGCTGAGAGATCAGAAGTGGTCAAATCCCCAGACTTTCCCTCTTCTTGTATGAATGGATATTGGCTATTTCTGCAAATATGTCTACTTTTTCCTCTGATTTCTTTCCCTTCTTCAGGTCAGTAAATGTTATCTGTTTCAAAATCTTTGCACTGGAACTCTATCAGTAAACAAAAATTAATAGAAAGCGATCTTAGCTCAGACCTATGCCCACCAAGCGTGGTGCCATCATCGTACTTAAGTTCTTAGATCACACTTCCAGATTGGCCTGGCAGCAGCCTCGGCTAGTAACTCCTGCAGCCTGTGCGGTTAATCCATCGCTGGCTGTGTTGTTGAAAGGTCTCGTGTTTGGAGATTACTAGTGCTCCTTTTGCCTCGGATTCATTCGTTCAGCAGGAAGGAAGACAGTCCCTGTCCAGGAAAAACAGAACCTGGGGACCTTCGGATGTTTTTGGAGAGTCATTAATTCAAAGAGCTGATTATTTCCCCACCTGTCAAGTCACTGCTTCAACATTAAACTAAATCAGATTCTAAACTAAAGTGTGTAAAGGGTAAGGAGGTGAGTCTAAGTACACACAGAAGACCTCTGTAAGCCCCCGTCAGGTTTTATTTGTCAAGTTCGGTCACAGACTGCCCAGCAAATAATCCCAGCAGTGCAACATTTTAGAGCTCTGATGCATTTATGTTTGCCTGAAAACTCCTTGTTTAGGGTTTGGTCTCGTGTGTAACTCTCATCTCTCTCCTTTTCTCTCCCTAATCTTTAGCTTGCCCCATGTGAACTGAATGAAAACCTACCTGGCAAACACTGAAGTCCTAAGTGGATTGAAGAAGGCTAGTGAGGGAGCCCGAGAGGGAGGGAAGACAGAAGGGATTAGCAGCTAATCCAGTGCACGGACAATCCTGAAGGAGCTTTATCGTTCTTCCAGAACGATGCAGACAAAACAGTTACTGGATTACACCGCTTTACTTTATTGCCCTTTCCAAGAGCGCATCGCCCTTCTTCTTTTGCTCTGATTGCTTTCGTTGGCTCTCAAAAGGTTTTACCTCTTGGGTGCACAGGGAACAGGGAACAGAGGACAAAGAAGCCGGGCGTCAAGGCCTGGGGACAGGATGTCCTGTGGACAGTGTGGTGCCACACATGGATAAATCTTTTCAGCGGTAGACTGTGCATGGCAGCGGACGCTCTGTTTTTTGTTTGCTCGGACACTAAGGAAGACAAGTGGAGAACAGCGCAGTGGATAAGACACTTAAGACCCTCTCAGAACAAACACTTAATGCCAGTAAGCAATATCGGAAATGCAGCGGTGTTAAATTTCAGCTGTATTTTTTGAGTCTTTACAGAAAGTACCTGAAAGCTTGTGAACCTCAAACAAGATAAAGCTCACTGACCAATAAAAGCAAAAGACTGACAATTTCCATTCAGTGATTCAGAATGCATGCATTTCATCACTGCTTGCCCCGTGTGCATGCAATGCTCATGAGTTGCTAAAGTGCGGTTAGAAACCACAGACGACCTGAGTAACACCTCAGGCACAAACTCAAGTGTTTGTCTCAAATTTAGGCTAATTTAGGCTATCAGTAATAGTGAGAAGAGAAAGTACGTCAAGTGAAGGGATGTAGTAATATTTCTGTTATACCCTTTAATGTCTGCTGTTTTTTTTCTGTGGAAAAGCCTCATAAAAGGGAAATTAAGCACACCTTCATAAAACTTCCTGGTGACATGATTCTCTTAATGTGTGCAAGCAAAATTTAAATTCTTCAAGAGTAAACAAAGGATTAAATTAAGTGAAAGCACTATAAAAACCAGCCTGGTTTATTGTTTTCAAACAGCTGTCTGACAGCTGAGTGTCCTTTCAGCTGTGAAGTGATTTTCTTTTCTTAATTTGCTGAATAACTACTCAGTCAGCCTTATGCTCTCAGGCTGAGGTAACCAGAGGAAGCGTGGTTTGACGTTTATCTTTGTTATTTTGTCATCACCGAAATCTACAGTTGCGCAGTAGAAGTACGTTTGGTCATTTTGGACAAAAGCAGCGGTGAATGAGTGGAGACAGGGGGAAATAGACGGGGACGGCTCTACATTCATTTTGGCATCTTAGAGTGGAGATGTAAAAGGACGCCGGGGGCAGGCAGTGGATGAATAGCTGGCTGTGACTGTATTGAGAATTGATTATACACACATTCTCTGCTGACTGAACGACCACATATTTCTGTTCTCTCTCCTCGCTGTCCAGGCTTTTCATTTTTTCCTTCTTTTTTTTTTTTTACAGTGGACCCCAAACTGGATTTCAGACTTGACTGACGTGTAATCAGAGTCCAGGCGTTTCCATTCAAATTTTAAAGGGAAATTACGCAACTTTTCTTTGCCACTATGAGTCTTGGAAAGCTGCCAGGGATTAAAGGCCTTGTGTCTGGCTCTCAAGGGAAACGTCGCTTCAAGAGCGACCTCTCTGTGGACATGATCAGCCCACCGCTGGGAGATTTCCGGCACACCATGCACGTCGGTCGTGGCGGGGATGTGTTTGGCGACACTTCCTTCCTCAGCAACTACGGAGGCATCAAGGAGCCAGGAAGTCCAGACTCAGCGAGCAGCTCCAAAACAACAGGATTCTTCACACGCACCTTTCGGCATGTGCGCAAGACTTCTGGTCCGCGGCCACGAGGGGGTTCTCGCGATTTGTCTTCCCCGCCGCCAGATATCTCACCTATCATCAAGAATGCGATCTCCTTGCCCCAGCTGAACATAGACTCACCCAATGGGTGCCTGCAGAGGGTGCCGTTCCCCAGCTCCATCAGCTCAACAGATGATTCCTTCTGCACATATGGTGAGATAATACAGATAATCACTTCCAGCATGGGACTGGACTTATGTAAAGCATCTTAGTGGTGAGATTATCTTCATTAAAAGTGAGCAGAGAAAATGTAGAGGCGGCAATCATACGCAAATATAACGGTTTATTAAGAAGGCAGCAGCGTGTTATCTGAAAGAGTGTCACACGAGCTACGGCGGCACAGATTAATCGACTTCGAGCACAGACTGCGTGCGCTCGTGTTGACAGTGGGACTGCACAGTTGGCTGAAAAGGTGAAAGGTCACAATACAAGCCATTAGAAGCACTATCCATTTACAAATTGCTTGTTCCTGTTACGTCAGATAAACCTGTAAGGTTGTGACAGAAGCTTATTTTGAAACTTATTTTCTGAAACCTCACAAATAAACCCAGCAAGATAACCAGAATTGTTACCTCTTATAATAATGAATATACTTTAGCCTTCAGCCCCTCCTTTATCTCACACACATTTTTGATCTTTTTAGTTTTTATTATCCAACAGAGGCTACAGAGGCTAGACTACATGTGTCAAACATGCCTACAAACATTGCCTTGACATTTGAAGGTTTTGAGCGATTAAATGCCAAAAGGCACAGTATTCATAAAATAACAGGTGGAAACAAAATCAAAAGTTAATACATCATAGAATTAAAGATCAAACGGAGCAGGGAAGCTTTAAAAGAGAGAACTCCAAAGAAAAAAGCTCCACAAAAGTTTGTGGTGGTCAGATGAGCAGGTGGTTTAAAGAGATCAACAGAGGGATCCCATGAGTATATGAAGGAGGGGAAGTGTGCAGAACATCAGAGAGAAAATAGGAATGGAGGTGCGATGTTATGGTGAGACTTTAAAGTAAGAAGCAGAATCTTAGACTGAGTGTGGTATTTTACAGGAAGTCGGTGAAGCTGTTAAAGGACTGGAATAATTCGTTCTGTGAAAGATGTTTTTGTATTGACACCAGCAGCTGCATATTTTTAATCCTTTGAACTCTGTAGAGAAGTTTGTGTGGTCAGCCAGAGAGGATAGAACTACAAAAAACAACACAATATGTAACCAGAGCATGTTTTAGAGTAGCAGTGCTGTTAGCTGTGTGGATAGAGAATACCACATTTGTCCAGTCAGACGGACTGAATGTCGAAAAACTGCATCCTGTTGCTGAAATTGTAGTTATTATTTTTTTAAGACACATCAGCATCGTCTGTTTATTGTTGTACTTGGTCTGACATTTGACATTTGACAGTCTTGATAAATGTGGAACTCGTGGTTTCTCCTCACCTCACATGGGACAAAGTTTTCTATTGTAGAATAAGAACGATTAGTATTGGCAGGAGGGGCACAAACCAAGGTGATTATATGAGTTTGACGTCATGATCTTCTAGTCTTTTAGAAGCTTTGCAATGCCACATTAACATCACAGCCAATTTGTGCTATTTTGTTGTTGAGATAGAAGTTCCTGCAAAAGGTATTTATATAGAAAGTTAAATGTGATGCCCAAAAATAACCAGGCCGCGAGCCAGTATCTAAGCCATGCTGTCATATTCAAGATGAACTATGCCAAATCTTCATTCAGCTTGTTCTTCAAATTCAAACTGTTACTATGATACGATTTCTCATTGTCGTCTGAGCTCACTCTCCAGCAGACTTGGACTATAAATTCAGAGGGTGAGGTTGCCCTTCTTTCAGCACCATTCCCACATTCCTCCAGGACAACCGGTAAACACGCCGGTTTCTGAATCGTTTGGAATCACCAAGGCAACCCCTGTACACAATTAGGCCCATAAACACACACACTTACACATACACACAGCTGGTTTGGAAGAAAGAGAAAGACTCGCAGGGCTTTTCCTGTCATCTCAGTGTGCGTGTGCCTCAGTGAACGCCATAAACACACCATTCATTATATCTGCTGAGCTTTCAGAGCTTATCGGGCAGCGGTCTGCAGTGTGGAGACTGGAAATCCCCTTTTGCTCTCCAGATTTATTACCCACTTCATAAGGAATGCACACAAAGTTGATGATGTAAGCCATCAGAGAGAGAGTCAGTGAGCTAAGGCACGAGCTTTTTCTTATCAGTCTTGAATTCGCCCTCTGTTGTCATTTGCAAATATAGTTTTTTCACTGATGCTCTGCAGTCTGGATTTTTTTCTTAAACATTATTTCTCAAAATTTTACACATATAATTTAAAACTAAATCAATCAAACATCACCAGCACTTCACTAACGTTGCTGGACTTTCATTATAAAACATTTAACACCCTTCACCGCTCTTGCATTTCTGCTGACTGACAGTTAACAGTAAGTGATGGTGACACTAATTCACAGTGTTTACGGCAGCGTGAGTTATTGTTGGTTAGGCACCGTGGAGCCTGACACTACCAGTGGGTTGTTACATGCTGCCCCCCCCGGGCAAAGAACCAAAACGCAAAAAAAAAACCCCAACCCAAAACTAAAAAATAAAACCTAATAATGGTTTTTTTAACATACAGGCATTGTTCTTTTTCTGATCGTGATATTCAGATTTTCAAACTGCAAAGACAATTGTTTTTGAAGTAACTCAAAAAGTGTAAAAAGCAGCGTGGATCTGTCCTCACCTCACATGTGCATACATGAAAAGCTGGAGGCAGGACCAGCAGCAGAAGACCAACAGACTGATCAGAGAGCAGATATGACACTGATCAGTATAATCAATATATGGCACTGCAGGGAGGAGCTGGAGGGGAGATGTGTTATAAAGCAGCTTGTAGTAATTGTAGGCAGATATAAGCAACTTAAGCAACATGTGGTCATTTCATGATCAGCTGAGGTTCAGCTTATGTTTGTTCTTGTTCGCAGATCAAAAAAAGGATTAGTTTGATTTGGTAATATAATTAATTCACATCTTTTTGTCTTTGTTTGCAGGTCTGCAGTCTGGGTTTGTCACTCTGCCGCGCCTCTCCCGCATCGACAGACAATTCCATGATGGAAACGCGCAGAAAGGCTCGGCACCAGACAGTGGCAGGCTAACACGTACGCGCTCGGACTCCCTCACTTCCTTCACTGTGGACCTCGGCCCTTCTCTCATGGCTGAGGTCTTGGGCTTGATTGACGACCCCAACCGCCTTCGGATATCCAATCACAGCCAAGAGGCAGGGGAGGAAGAGCAGGGTGAGGAGGGAGACGACAACAGCTCGCTAACAGAGACGCCCGTGCAGACCCCTCTAGTCACCTCACCCGACCTTTCCGTGTGCAGCGGGTCAATCGGGCAGGACACAAACAACAGGCGGTGCTCTGGTACTTCTGATTTGACAGAGGAGGAGGACAGGAAGTCTGTAAGGACACCGGATGCGTCCGCTCGGTCTCCTCATAGATCGGAGCCTGTCATGGAGGCAGAAAGGTTCCAGAAGGCTGCTGACGTGCTGTCCCGCCACTACGGCGGAGGATCCTTCACGAAGGGAGTGAGGAGGAGCAGTAGCGGTACAAACCAATCTATTTCCCAAAGCCGCGAAGCATCTCACGAATCAAGTGAAGAAGAGGAGGAGATAAAAGTATAGATGTCAAAACTCTGAAACTGTCCAGCGACCTGGGTTCACGAAGGAGGAACGTGTGACTTTCTGTTCCTCAACAGAAACATCCTTCATCCTTTACACATGCATATACATGGAAGTAACTGACCAGTACTCAGTCATGATGCCAGACCTCCCCCCTCTTCCTGGACAACACTGCTGTTGTGATATTAAACTGTCTATTTATTTGTTGCTTTTCAGTATACAGACAAATAACACTATGTAGTCATGATGTTCTGAAGCAAATTAAAAGAACAATGAAGAGTTCGCAGGGCTGAGATGTCAAAGGGAAGCTGGGATTTAAAGGAACAAAGTAGCTGCATTATGTTTCAATATTAACACATTACAGTCCCTGTAAATAAATTTAACAGAAGGGATTGTTTTGTTTTTATTTTGTTTTTTTACAGGTTCAATTCTAATACTAATCCAAAGTCTATATGATGACCTCCTGTAACAACTATAATACTCAGTAAACATGTATCAGTGTTAGACTCGATGTTGAATAAAGTGTGGGCTGGTGTAATAAAAGACTGATTTAAAACATGAAATATCTGCTTACGTTATCCATTAATGATGTAATCCCACTCCCACTATTAGTCTTTCCTCTGGATTTCCTTATCTTAATGTTTTACGTGGCTGATCCTGATACAATGCAGCTCGGTCTACTGTGATCCTGCCTCATGACTCCGATTGGCTCTGTGAACAGTCATGAGTCAGACTGTAAATCACTCTGACTCATGACCTGCTTTGAGAGGGGATGGTCTGCAGCACTACAGTGGCCGGAGTCAGCTTATTTACAAGTCCTGTTTAAATGTGTTGCAAGTGCTGCACAATGTCAAACATTGGTGATAACAAATAAGAAACTCTGAGAAGTGTTTCAGCTGTGCACCCTGCCTCATATACACTAAAGCTGACAACACTTCTACAAAAGAAATGTGTCTGAATTAGAGGGAGACAGGTGGAAACAGAACATGCAAGGAGCAGAGACAGTTAAGGCAGTGGAGTTTAAATACAACCATCCAAAGAAATGGTCAGTGCACAAGAGAGACGAAGAAGAGAGAGCAGGCAGGGTGGAGCAGGTGGAGACCAGTGTTAGGGATGATGTGTGACAATGATAGCAGAAAGAGTGAAAGCAAAGGTTTATAAGATGAGAGTAAGATCTGCTGTGATGCTTGGTTTGGACACAGTGGCACTAACAAAAAGACAGGAGGCAAAACTAAAGACATGAAGAAGAAGAAGAAGAAGAAGAAAAACACCTGTGCATCTTTGATAATAACTCCTCCACAAACCTCCTCTTTTATCTATCTTCCAGATTAATTTTAGGAACTGATACATCCTTCAAGGTTGTGCACTAAGCCTGACTTCTGGTCTGGTTTTTATTTGGAAGAAGTAATGTTGAGGCTGCTGCAGCCTCTCTTAGTAAACCGTAACGGAGCTGCATGTCCTGCAACTTCATTGTATGTATTAATTTAACGATCATAATCTCTTAATCTCTAAATTTTCATTTATTTGAAAACAGTTTATAATTTTTTTCACTTAAGTAAATGTTTAATAGTGAATGTAGTAGACCGATTTTTTGGGTTCAGTCATGTCTTCGACAACTCTGTGTTCACCACGCGTGTTGCAAGGACGTACAAAAGCACACCTGAAAATGTGTGTGCAAAACTGAATTTAAGATGAATCCCTCAAAAACAGCAAAGCTCTGCAGCTGCGCAGGTCATGTGGTGATAGAATAAGTACACTGGTATGTGTAAGTAGATTTTCTTTGTCAGCAAGTGAGCTAAAATGCATTTAGCTGCCAAATGGAGATTATCATTGTGATTAGATGAGTTTGTTAGGCCAGCTAGAAGCCTGCTGGACACTCCTAGGTGAGGTGTTTCAGATATGTCCCATCAGGAGGAGCCGCCGAGTCAGAACTGTTACATCTTTTGGCTGGCTTGCGAAATGCTTTGGGAGCATCAGCAATGAGTAAGACCAAATTTTCACTCTGTGCTACCTCAACACTCAGCATAACTGCTGTTACAGTCGATCTGATGTGCTTGCTTTGCCTGCGAATATAACAATGACAACGCTCAGATCAATGTATTTTCTAAAACTACCTTACATAATAACCAGTAAATATCCGAGCCTTAGTTTAGTCCAGATTAAACATACTATGAAGAACAAAATGGGACATCATTGAGAGCCACATTTCTTCATGGGAGACTTGATTTACTCACTCATACACACATGAATCTTTTTCAGGAGGGTTCCAACCATTAAAGACAAACTGGAGCTACAATCCGTGTTGTGTACCAACTTGAAACCATTTGTGGTGGATTTTATAGATCTCACTAAAAATAGGCTGTATGCCATTCAAATGCAATAGTATGCCGATTGCAGTGGAGAGTCAGATGATATAACCAAACACGACGTCAGGTATAGAAGCTATTGATGCATTTGATGCCCAGAGTGGACACCAAACATACATAAATATAGAATATATTTAATCCCACACTGGGAAATTCACTTGTTACAGCACCACAACTGACAGCTAGAAAAGTGAATTGGAGATATATTATATCAGCGCATTAAAAAAAGCCAAAATCCTATAATATTTACAGATGGTTACTATATACAGTAAAATACAACATTTTTTTAATAGTGATAATTATATACATGAATTTTTAAATAGTATTATCACCTCAAACAAAGAGATGCATACTGGCTTTAGGCTCTTTAGGTCACCAGTTACCCTGGACGTCTATGGCTCATGTGTCTTGTGATAATTACTTTGGTCCTAAAATAGAGTCACTTTGTTGGTATAAATGAAATTAAATCAAATTTTTAATGCTGGGAGGTCAGTTTCTTTATCATAATTATGCAAATTCTCCTGACAATTGATCAACAACCACTGATCAAGGCCCACTGATCAAAGCCCACTGATCAAAGACCACTGATCAAAGACCACTGACCTCCACTGGCCTCCCAGCCCATTGTTCCTTCTGTGGGCTGGTTTCAATCATTGGGGAAACCTGCAGTCAGCTGAGACTGAAGGAGTCACTTGGATGAGTGACGAAACGTTTCTCCCACTGAAAACGCTACGTCCAGACTAGCACTGAAGTGTTTGTCACACCTTCTGCAAATACCACCTTTTCACAGAATCCTTCAATGAGTCTGGTAATGCTTGAAGCATGACGTCTGGTTGGTACATTCAGGCTTAATCTGGTTCATTTGCAGATGTTTCTTAGTATTACAGTTTCATCTGAAAGCTGGCAGAGCCTGTTATCAGTGTTTTTCCAATTTTTTAACAATAAAGGACCTTTGGACTGCTCTTATGTCTATTTGCGCCCGATAGTAAAGACTTAAAAAACAGGTTTAAACCCAGGTCTATAAGGTCTGTGTGATTTTTTTTTAAATCATTGCTTGTTTGATTTCTTCCACTTCTCTTCAAATGACCTCAATTCAATTTAATTCAGTTTCATTTATACAGTACCAAATCAGAACAACAGTCGCCTCAAGGTGCTTTAAATTTATATTGTAAGGTAGACCCTACTATAATACATGGAGACGAAAACCCAACAATCACATGACC